CATACAGTTATTCATACATACAAACATGCATACATACAACATACATACAACATTCATACAAACATACGTACATGTGATAATGATATAAAAATGGAAATTCAATAAATAATGTCCATATATTTGTATTTATTGGGCTTCAATTTAGTTTTGTTGGCTTCGTTTTTAGGCCTAATATTTTCGCCTAATGTATATATCGTGAAGAAAGCTCTTTAATATTGTTTTTATGCAAGTTTGGATATTTTAATGGAAAATAAGTTCCTTTCCGTACAGTTTAGTCATTAAGTACTGATAGAGAGGTACCAGGAAATAAACATTTTTTGTTTGAGTATGCAACCGCCCTCTCCTCGGATCACTTACTCATTTAATTGTGGTGAGGCATTGTCATCAATGGTCGAAGCCTTTGCCTGGCACTTGGAAAGCAATATCGAAGAAATTCTGATTCTACGAGGTTCTCTTTGAATTTATACCGGCAACAGGAACGTAGAATTCTTTTTCTAGGAATCTACTGATACGATCTTAAATTTTCTAGCAACTAATCTGCAAGTTCTGCAGAGGTTAGCACAATCAGAAATAAAATGCACAGAAACAAAGAAGAAATACACACACATAAATTTACACAGCTATACCTCTGTCAATACTTAATACAAGTCCACGTAACATTTCTCTCAATGAAAATTTTAAAAATTGTCCAAACATGAGTTTGCCTTCATGTAATACAGTACATATAATATTCATTAGCAAAAAATCATAGAAACTATTTATATTCACAATTGCATTTGTCTTGAACTGATAAATCAGATCGTTGTTCTTGTGAAAATGAAATCGGTTTACAGTTAGTTTGATATTATAACACCAGTTCTTCCTTCAAAGAATATATCCCAATAAGGCGGTGACAAGTGCCCCCTAACGAAATCGAAAATTGCGATGATCATATAGAACAAAATAAAAGAAATGCTGGAGATTTCCAGAAAATCATCCTCCAAAAGAAATCTCTTTGAGTGATACCAGGAACGTGTTTTTAATGTTTTATTTTATCTCAGCTTCCATTGTGTGGGCTGTAAAAATAATTGAGTCGCGAAAAAATAGTTGAATTTGAATGTATTTTTTCTACCAGTGTTGACGCCAAATTCAAATAGAAAAAAATAAATACATTTTTAAAATTGATTTTTAGTAGTGTAGTGATAATTTTAATACTGATTTTTAGTAGTTTTGTAGTGATAACGATAGAGTACTGTCTCAGTTGATCTCCCAGAATGTGTCTTATAACATTCTATGACAATTTGTTTTACAGATTTTAGAAAAATGAGGGCGATAGTGAAAAATCGTTAAAACCTATTTTATCAGTTTAAAATTTAAAAATTCGCTCCAAAACGCGATCATTTTCAATGTCTTCTTCAAGTGTCCGGGATCACGAGATCGTTTATAAAGTCTACTCAAATTTTACAACAATCTTCAATAAAATCTACAACAATTTTCGCCAAGTAACGAGCGTGTGCCAAATAATAAATGATCGCAACTACATGAGAGCAGCATCCCAGAGTGCGACTTCTATTCGCACGTTCACAATAATAGCGTTCCACTTCCGATATTCGCATGGTGGAAATAGGCGGATCCCCTCCTTCACCGATTTTTGCTCGCTCTGAACAGCATCAGTTTGCGTCACGAACCACGTGACCACAACACGGGAACTTCGGTTGAAACGCGAAACTGACGTTGGCCATGTTCAATGGAGAGCACGAAATGTTGAGAAACATTTTAAAGTGGCATACAGTGACAATTGTCAATGGTGACCAACCAAAACTAAGGCTATGAAGGTGTAATTGAATTAAAAGAAGCAATAAATTAAAAAAAGCTTATCGGTTTCTGTTGTAACTGTAATAAATTTGACATTTAAAATTCCCGCTAATATTATGACACAAACTGCTGATTGAAGCTTTTTTGGCTGAAGACGGATGCACAAGAGCCCACCCATCTCTTTCCACCATGGATATTCTTTTTGAGTTTGGAATATAATCGATGTGGCACCTATAAGATTTCTAGCTCATATTTTGTGATTGAAACGGTGTTTAAATATTAGAAAAGGTTTTTTTGCAATTGAGCGCGAATTTCAAATGTTTAAACTTATAAAATGGTTTTAATGTTTTTTCGCCAATGTCGCCAAGTCGCCATTTCGGCATGTTATAGAATGATATGAGACACATTCTATGAGAAAAAATGAGACAGCATTCAACGTTTACACGTCGAAAATCAATTTCAAACATTTTTATTATATTTAAAATTGGTGTCAAATTTCATCGAAAAAATACTTTCAAATTCAAATATTTTCCCCCGTCTCTACTATTTTTTCAGCCAAATACATGCAATAGAACCCGAGAAAAAATAAAACATGAAAAACGCGTGTCTCGTATCTCTGCAACAGATTACCCTAGGAAGCTAACGCTTTGGGAATCTACGCCATTTTATATTCTCTTCCATATGAGCATCGCAATTATCGATTTGCTGGGGGCACTTTTCAGCTAAATTCTTAAACAGATTTCCTACGAAAGCGGTGGTAGGGAACGAGTATTTGCCGTTGAAAGCGAAGTACCGGTAACAGCTCACTCCTCCATTGTACAATATATAGGCTCATCAGGTTTTCAGCTTTCAGAAAGTATTCTTTTATTTAAAGATATTGGACAAACTTGTTTTTTTAATGGAACTTCATAGTTTTACACGATTATACAGACCGTTAGACGACAAACTCAGTTATACTGCATATGTTGGTTTTAGATGAATAATCATAAACACTAATGAGTTTTAAAATATGACATTGTAGCAGATTCGGAAGTTCAGCCTCTATAGTTCGCCGGATAAAAACGACGGGGATTAAGATGTCTAGCGCATGTTGTGACCTCTATGCGAAAATCGGCACCGCGATACATAAGTATAAGTGAGGCCGTCTAGAAATCGCGAACAGAGAGGGAATGGCGTAAAGATGAGAGAGTGCAGAGCACAGATTTGTAGCGCGGCGATGTGTCGTTTCTACGACCAGTTGACGTAGAAACTTTCAAAAATGTGCGACTCATTTGTGTTATCAATTACGTAATTTTAGTAAACATTATTTCATTTCATTAATACTTTAGGGCAATTTTAACCCTTTACCTACTACGGGCCGTCCGTCTGTAAGTCATGCGTCTTGGATACGTTAAAGAAATATTTCGTGTCAATGTCTCTATTACTGAAGAAGTTGCAACTCAGTTTACTATGCCTTTGCTCTGGAATAGTGCGATTTTCACAGTGATGCAGAGTAGAGTATTTCTATATTTTAGTCCGTACCTTTCGTATATCTACAGAAGAAGAGATAATGGATTCGCCTTGCGAATTGACGCCAAATTATTTCAAAAAATGAGCGGGAAATGCACTCCACATAATGTAGTTCGCAAGACCTGCGCTATCACTGAAGTATGCCCCTTTTAAAAATCGAAGAGTTTTGATCTGTCTGACCTGGCATCTCCAGGAGGTTTCTTGAAAGGGAAATTCGACCGATATAGCATCAAGGCCGCTGCATAACTCGCTGCTTTGCGGCTTAAACACCGCTGAATTGCCGGCGCCGTACCACGAACTTTCAAATATCTGCTTTTCGTATGATGCCGGATTTCATACTATTTTGTGCTGCCAATTATTCGTCAAATATATGGTATTGAATTCGTCTTTTCAAGAGATTTCTGTTCGTGTAAAAAATGTAAGGTTCCTTTTAAAAATACGAAGTTAGTTCCAATATATTTAAATAAAAAGTGGTTTTAAAACCGAAATAACTACGACTGATGAGCCTCTATGCCCTGGATCCTTCGGTAAAAATTCATCTCAATATCTTGAATCGTTCACAGAATATTCGAGATGAACGGATTTGCTGGCAAACTCTGTACACATGAATTATGATATGCACACTTAAGAATGGCATGCTTGTCGCCTTCCACTTCACGAGTTAAACGAAAAAGTCGTGCGCTCAGATCAATGTTTAGAGAAAACTTTCTGAGAAAATAATGAAAACAAGCAAAATATTTTTGTTTGTTCAATACCAAATTCATAATATATACGCTACTTCCAAAACATACAAAAGATTACAAAGCTCTGAATTGAAATGATTTGCACCTTTGCTCTTCACCGGGATGTGCTGAAGGTATCTGATATATTCTTGAGGCACGAAAGAATAGCGAATAACTTTCGTTCGCGAAAGACCTTATTTCGTTAATCCTCTGCGATAATGTGACCTTGAGCTGCCAGGTTTTTTTACACTTGTAATTATCTATAGAGGAATTTGTAATGTCAGAAGTAGAACGATAATGATCTCTTTCTCTCTTCTCTGCAACATAAATTGTGTATTGCATACTTAGGGAGTTTTATTAATTTGTTTTAAACAGTAGACCTCCAAACATTACCTGTGTCGTGTATCCCTTTCTCAGCTCTTCCTCACCATTCGCGAAAGTGAAGCTACGTACTTCATCACCCAGTCCTCCATCAACTATTCTTCCCTGGTCAAGAACTTCCCTATGAAGCAACGAACGCTGTGGAGGCCCCCGTGAAAATTGTGAAGTTCAGCTCTAATAGGCAACGGTAAACAAAGGGCAGTTATCAGAACGCGAACGAACCCGGCGAGCTAAAGCAGCAAAGAGTACGTGCAGCGCAAATCGGCGCTGCCGGCGGCCGGGCGCGCAGCAACGCAAAGAGGCGAATCGGCCTCCGGCGGCGGCGGCGGCGGCGGCGGCGCAGCGGCGGAGGAGGAGGCGCGGGGAGTATCGGGGGCCGATCTGCGTGCGTCCAGGCGTTATCAGCGGCGCCAATGGCTGCGGGCCGTCCGGCGGCCGAGGCCACGCGGCTACCCCGTAGCGCCGCCAGCAGTCCGCGCGAGGCCAAGGAGGCGTCCGGAGCGCACCGCCCACCGCACGACGCGCCTCCCCTCGCCGCCCGCGCACGTGCCCGACGCCACCGTCGCCGCCCCGCGCACACGCCAGCGGCCGCGCCAGTGAGCACGCAGCGCCAGCCACCGCCACCTGCCCGCCCGGGGCCGTTGTGGCCTTGCTCTTGGCAGGCTCCCGCCGCTCGGAAAGGACCCACCTCCCGAAAATCTCGACCCGCTTTGGGCCACTGTGAGTCACGACCATCGAGGACAGTCGGTCACCGCGGGGGGAGGCATCGTGACGTAACTGTTTTCGGGTAGACATTTGGTCTGATAACGAGGAAACAAAGGGCAGCTCCGCTACCTGCGACGCGGGATCATTATCTATTACAGGAAGCATCACGTGACCGCCGACGTCGGCTGCACCGACTAGTATTAGACCGACTGAGCGGGATTAGACGGCATTAAACTAAGAAGAAGCCAGCTCGCACATGTCGAGAGAGGACATCGCCTCATTCGAAGTTTGGAGGAGGGAGCTGGTGGGAGCTAGTTTACTAACAGATCCGTTATTCGGATTCGCATTGAGAATTTCGACGTAGAGAATCTCCGGGACCGATAGACTTTGAATATACCTTTGAGTCGGTTCATAACCCACGCCCAAGAAGAACAGCAATGCCTATCGTAAAGATGGCAGAAACGTCTCGCCTCGCCAGGCTGTTGGTGGGTCGCCATGACGACCACTCCCACGAAGAGGAGGAGGGCGGCGTGGACGACAGCGGGGTGGTGGTGGCCAAGGTGGTGGCGATGCTGGTGCTGGGCGTGTGCACGCTCATCCTGGGCACGCTGCCCATGTGGCTGTCGCGGCGCCTCCACTGGGGGGCGGAGGGCGCGGGCCCGCAGAAGCGCGGGCAGGTGGCGCTGGCCCTGCTGCGGGCGTTGGGCGGCGGCGCTCTGCTCGCCACCACCTTCCTGCACATGCTGCCGGAGACGCGCGAGGCCGTGGAGCACTTGCAGAGCGACAACCTGCTGCTCGAGACCTCGTTCCACCTGCCCGAGACGCTCGTCTGCTGCGGCTTCTTCCTCATGTACGCGGTGAGTCCTCGACGCAGCGCTGGCCGGTCGTTGGCTCATTCCGAACGATTGACTATTTCGCGCGTCAACTGCCATGGGCACTAGCCTCCCCTAGACACTAGTCTCTCCTACCCACTAGAATTCTCATCGAGACAGCGGATGAATTGGTCCTAGTAGCTAGGGTCGCAAATCGTTGGAACTCGACTCCTAAAAACCTCACGATCAGAGGCACTACAGTGATATTAGTTGCCCTGAGCCATCTCAGCCGCCTATGCCAGTTTTTGTTTTGTTTTAACGGTTGCGTTCGGAGTACAGCACAGTTACAGACAAATATCATCCCAGTATTGCGAATTACCCTGGGAGACAATTTTTTTTTTCATACCTCCAGGATAAAAGTAGGTGATTTCAAAGAAAACGATCACGCTGATATCGAAAATCATTATAAAACGTTTATATCACGCAAGGTTCAAAAGATATGAAGATATTTAGTATTTGAAATAAACCAAATTCTATACTAGATTCCGCATTGCCACTCTGATTATATTACTAGAAAATGTTAGAGCCTGCTTTACACGACGTAGAAACAAGTTAAAAATGGAATACACATATTCGTGCAGTAATATGCAGACATTATAACGGTTTGTTTGTATTCTCCACATCATTCGTTGAGCGAATGAGAATCATTTGAGTTCTCCATATGACCACAAACTAAGGTTTGTTGTACAGGTGACAACACTGGTGAGCAACCCGTGGTTTGCCTTGATAACAAGCACGGCAGCCAATGTATAAAGAATACACACATTTTGTAATTTCATAATTTGTTTCCTTTGAAGCTTGGGAGTAAATCTTGCGCAAACGTAACAGAACGTATCGGGTTGATTCGCTCACTTTTGATGTGAAATGATTTGCACTTTATCAAACCGATTCAATTCTGCAGATCATGTGGTGATTTTCACTTTATAACAACTACAGGACTGTAATGTATTAATGTATGCGAGGGACACGCAAACTAGACACGAACTTCTCACTCACTGCGTGTACAGTTATGCATGACACCGGCTGACTCAGAATCTACAAATATCCAACAGTTGGATATTTGTATACTTGTGATAAGGTAAGGGGCTAAAATAATTCCTTTCGGTGACTGATGCCCTGTATGAGGTTGCACATGATTTTTTTCAAAACATTCCCTAAGACTTGCTCGTAATTGAGCGCGACTACGAGACGCGAGAATAAAGATGAAAATCTTCGAATACATAAGGTAAAAAACACACGAAAGCCTAATTGTGTTGGGGTTCCAGGAAAGAGGCATAGATGAACTGAAAAATTAGTTTATTTTTAAATAGATTTTATTCGCATTGATTCTACATATCATACAATTGCAAATTAATGCAAATTAAGAGTATTTAAATTAATTGCAAAATACGGTATGATACGCTGTAAAGATACGGTATATTTAAAAACTTTGATGTGATATGACGTTCATTTTTATTGTGATATTCGTAATCACGTATAAAATTGAGTACGTTACCCACTCTACCTTCCTGGAGGTAAAAATCTTGTTCCCTAGTGTTATATTATTCTTAGTATGTACTATGTATGCAGAGCTACTTTCAAGCAACGACAATCATGACATTATTGTTGAAAGTAACAATAGCTAAAAGCCACTATCGCAAGCCGTTGCAAAAATGACAGCAGATCGTATAATTAACGAACATAAGATCTTATAAATAACATTACTTATAAAGTAATTTTAATCTAAAGCTTGTAAAGTTGGAGAGCTTGACAGTAGCTTACACGTATATTCTACACATTATTTTGTCCTAATGGGAAATATATTAGGTTTGATTGATTGACTGATTGTTCCCCGTGAGTCAGTTGCTAAGGTCATAATCCCGTAAATGCAGGGCAGCATTTATTGCGGAAGGTGGCGCTGATTTTCCTCCACTGGAAGGAGAGATATGGCGCCGACCTATCGTCGACTTACCGTTTCCCCGACTAGGTATCTCCCTCCAGAAAGTCACCACCCCATCCGGGACAAACTCTAAGCCCCCGATAGGCGTGGCAGTGTTGTGCATGTAAGTGAGTAAGGGGTGAGGAGAGGAAAAGGAAGAGAAAGTAAAGATGGCGCACGGTCCGTGGTCCTTTTTGTTAGGGTACTGCTTCGGCATTCGCCTAGTGTTGGTCGAAAACAAAACACGGGAAATACCGATCAGAGCAGCCTGCCACTGAAATTCTCTTCCACACAGCGGCTGAATTCGACCTAGCTGACAAGCTAGTGTCGAAAATCCTGCAACTCTAGAACCTCCCGATCAGAGGCACTGCAGTGACATCAATTCATGTACTGAGCTACCTAAGTCGATGAAATATAATAGAGAATCATAAAGTAATTTATATGGAAGTATAATGGAGTGATATTCCACTATAATGATACCCTAGTATAATGGAGTGATACAATTTTGGAACCAACAATCTTTCTAAAAGTAGCGCGGATGATTTATTTCCATGACAGTGCCCGAAGTTTTCGATGCTTAATAAGAGAAACAATTAGAGAGTAGGAAATTTATAGAAAACAAACAATAAAGATACATCATTCGCGTGAATTAAACATTAAGATCTTAAACTGAAAGTTAATTATTTTGTTGCACACGACGTCCGCCCTTGTACATGCAACATTTAATAATTACAGTTCACGTTTTTGAACTGCCGCATTTGAAGGGGTACGACGAAAACCAGCGATGGTCCCTAAATTGGTTCAGAGTAGGTAGAAAAGTTATTACAGAAAAGTGACGGACTCACGGGGAAGGCACAGGAATGCTGAGAATTTTACTCAAAATATTTATAACAATTGCAGCATATTGACCTCATCACATTCCGAAGGAGTACTTTCATTCAACCGAAGTGGAACTTGTTTCAAGAAAAAAATATTCTAAACGAATACTACTAGAATATTTACTTACGAACGTAAGAAGATAGTCTTGAAATCGTGCACCGGAAAACGAGTTTTCGGCAGAAAAACTGTTTATTGTAATGCTCTGATTACTAAAAAGTGAATATATACTGTTCCTATTATAGTAAATTACTTCCTCTAACACGTGGTGTAGACAGAATCTACGTTTGTGGGTCCTGATACCGAAAAATCTATTGATGGCAAAACATCCATACATCCATATACAAGATGTCCATACATCTGTTCGTCAGAGGTCAAAGCTATCGCCTAAACCGTTCAGCTCAAATTATCCAAAATTGATATTACTCCGATCGATATGAACAAATTCAAAGCTTTGGGGGGTTTGAAAAGGTTATTTTGATATTTGAGGGCACTTTACACGAAGTCTTAAAAACATTTTAATTTTTGTCTCAAAAATGGCTCCATTTTTTTCATTAAACTATGTTCTCGGATAGCGAAGTGTACCCTTCAGAAAATTGGGAGAGGTTTCATGTTCGTTAAAATCCCTAATTTTATAGAGCGTCTAGCTAAATCTGCAATATTGAAGATAGATATTTTTCCTTTAGTTAAATCCGTTCTCTAAAACACATCTTGAAACTAATGCCATGTACAATTTTTTGAAAATGTATTTTTTGCGTAAATTTGCGCGAAATATAGGCAATTTTTACTTTTTAAACATTTTTTTCTCAAAAACCACTCTAATTTTTTTGTTTAATTTTCTCCTCGTATGTATCAAGATTCGGAGGTGGTATAAGTGGCAGACTGTAGATTGAGAGGTGATTAATTTAAATAAATACTAATTCTCCGTCAGTTCTTCCATAACTCCATGGAATGGAATAAGGCCCATGGAACTTTGTTCCAGCGGTAAAGATAATCGAATGGGCAATAGTCACAAACAATCAGTATTAAACACAAGAAATGTGAATTAAGATGTATAATTAAACCGATTGATTAGTTACAAATTAAAATATGAGTTCAATATGCTGCATAGAAGCAAATTTCAATGAATTTAATAATGAAAGAACCGGAAAGATCTGCAATTAGCGCCATGCTTGATAAACATGTGAATAATATTAAATACAATTACATGAATACACTGTGTGGAATTTACATCAAACAACCATGTACTGCTGAGAGAGAAAGAACACAGTTTATGTGTGTTGTCCAGTAGATCTGGCAACTGATGTTGATCCAGTCTTGGACGAACAGAGCGCTCCAGCTGAGGGAGCGTTGATGATAGCGAAATTGTTGGCAGACCTGCCGTGGCCCATCGCTGAGAGCGTAAAGTTTATGATTGAGTATTCTCATAGAAGGCTTGTTTACAAACGTTGCCTTACTGAGAACATGAAGAATAGCATGCCTGTATAACGCGCACTGATGCAGTTGTAGTAATAGAATTGTTAGTTCACACGTTCAATGATGTGTTAGAGATTGCTGTTGCAATATTAATTGACACATTGCACTAAGGAGGTAGTAACACAGTTCAGATTGGTAACAACAGCACAGCTTAAATTATGTCAGTGAAACAGTTCAAATGATTTGGCTGCAATGTTCGAGGAACACGATACGCCACGCAAGTAGTAACACAGTCTTACATTCGCGTATAAATACGGCAAAGTCTAATCACTGGAATTAATGTAATTGGAAACATACAAAGTATGCAATCCCTTGTGCTAAAACATTAAACGATTAACTGAAAGTTCATTAATTGAAATTTTAAATTACCAAATTTATGGTGTTAGTTTTGTGCATAATAAACCGACACAATGAGATTGCATCATCGTGCGTGGCTGCTGCAACCGCCACGTGCGGCTAAACTGAGGCTTCTGCGAAAATAAATGATGTGAGGAATCCCTAGAATTCCCCGTGCCTGTTGGAGCTTGCAAGCTTACGAATTGATAGAATGATAAACTGTACTGGATCTTTGCTTACATAGAAGTGCGTATTAAATATATAATATTAAATATGGACAGCTTGCACGAACAGGAGTATATGGTATACGCTAGTTCCATTTTCGGCAAACTGTCCGTATTTTCAAAAATTGCAAAAAGTTCGAAACTTCAAAACTATA